AAGAAGATGTCGTTGGAGAGGTTCGTGGGTCGTTCTTCAGTCACTAGGATTTTTAATTGCATAGCCTGATTCGATTTGATTTGATTTCTTGGGTTTTTTTTTTTTTTGTTTTTGTTTTTGAGAATGTGGGAATTGGTGTTTGATAGATTTGTTTAGGTTTAATAGGGTTTTTGTTATGTTGTGTGAACTGGGTTATTGATGGTTTTATCATTTGCAGACGTATTTGGGAATTCAAATATTCAGATTTTACTTCAAACGTACCAAGTGCTCTGCCGAGCTCGCGATGAAGACAGACCCCCAGAATTCTGACTATGTTGTTTAGGCCGGTGCGACACGTAATTTTGAACCCTGGCGCAATGAAGATGAGGTAAAACAGAAACAAAAATGACGACTTTCCACTTACCGTGTTCTTTCATGTTTTCAGGTTCTCTTATGCTGTGATGAACATTGCTTAACCGCTTGATTTGTATATTTGTTTTTTCTTTTCAGGAAGTAGATAAGGAGAAACAGAAAAGGGAGTCCGAAGAAATGGGAGATGCCATGAGAGCCTTGGAGAATAGAACACAGGATTCAAAAAGAGAGATGGACGTCATGGCTGCCTTGGATGAGATGAAGTCCATGAAGGTAGATGTCTCAGTAGTTGTTTGTCTAGTGATAAGTCGTCAAATTCCTTGTTGTGTGGGCTATAGACCCTCAACTTGCTTAATAACAATCAACACATTTTCTGTTGCAACTATTATCTGCATGTTGTGTAACTGACAATGGTAAGCTTATAATGTTTGTTTGCACATATTTTCCATGCAGCGGAAAAAGCTTACTCACGGGCTTCCTAACAATTCAACAGATTGGTTGACAAACAGCAGTATTTCTGATAGAGGTAGTTCAGACAACACATGCAGATTGTTCTCGCCCCTGAATCAATCATTTGTTTCTTTCTGGATTCTGTCCATTTGACATTATTGAGCTTTTTTGTTATTTTTCTATTGACAGGGAATCGAAATGGCTCAGAAACTGCTAAAATTCCCTTTTAAGTCCTCGACTGTTAGGGTTGCTGTAGTTAAGAAACCAGTTGTGGCTGAAGGTGAAAAGTCAGCGGAAGCAGAAGACAAGAAGAAACAATCGGGAGAGGAGGTTCAAAATTCAACAAAACCAGATAAGAGTAAAACCAATGCTACAACCAATGTATTACAATCATTGTGCCAATATGACAGTGACGATAGTGAGGAATGATTAGTTGGGATTATGTTTTGATTCCATAATCAAATGCTTTGAGGAATTCCTTTTACTATATTCTTCATCTTCATCTATAATGGTTCTCTTCTGAATTGGTTATAATTATTGCTACGGTTTCAAATAGGAATTCGTACTTGCTGAATCCTCTTGCTATTGGAGTACCGTCACAAAAAATAGTGTTTTGTCGGTTGCTTGCATGAAACATGGTTTCATTCCCCCCGTGGGGCAATGTTATTTGAAGAGAAACTTACACATGATATTGTAGGTATTGAAATGTAACTCTATAATGACGGTGAATTTGTTTCATGCAAGTCTTTCACTTACAGAGTTGTTGGTTCAAATATTCTCCTCTCTAATCCATATTCCTGCCACATTTCAAAAGGATGAACAAAAGCCTACGAAAGGTAGTATCTTCTCATGTGAAGATGACGTTGGCGAGGACAGTTCCTTCTTCCTTATTAACCTCCCAACGTCATCTTTTTGCATGAGAACAAACTGTCGATATCAAAAGAAAAAATCTCTCTTTCATTCGTATTAAAATCAACAAACAAACACATCTTTATTTCACTTTCAAAACCAAAATAAAAATCTGTAGAATGCGCATATATAGCGCATAAGGCCAAGTTATTTGTTACACGATTTTATATCTCGACAACAACCATAAATTTTAGTTTTCAACTTCGATGCCGCAGTAAGCTTTGATACGGGAAGCTGCCTTCTTGGACTCTGCTGAAGCATGAAATCGTGTATAGCCACGACTGTCGCATGGATTATACAGCAGTGGGTGCTCATCGTCCACTATTTCTTTTGGTACTTGTATGACTCCATTGTTGAATGTAAACAGACCGAGAGAGTATCTTGTCTTGTCCCCGCGATGTTTTACTCGATGTTGGCAAGCTTTTATTCTGTCGTTGCTCCATACCTGAATCCAAATAAAAGAAATATGTTTCGTAATTTACTACTTGCATCATTATTAATATCTTATCTTTGTTATACATATTATATTGTGCTACGACGAGCATTTTTTTTTCGTATATGTGACGGTACGTTATTCGTAAAGGATGGAACGACCGCATTTAAAGTTTGGACTCACCTGCAATCCTTCGGCTGCCATGAATAAGAAGTGCGAAGGTACTGACTCGATATTAATCCAATCACCTTCCTTTGTTTTAACCTCCAACCCACTAACATCATGCTGAACAACTATGGTTGTGAAGTTATTGTCTGTATGCATTGGAAACCTTAACGTAGTATTAGTGTCCTCCGGCACCTTATATTTGATGAATCTAAGGAGGTGACTGTTGCAACAAGCAACAGACTCGTATTCGTTTCCTAACCCATAGCTATCGAATATCATTTGTCCTACTGTTCGTTCCAAATCAGCTAATAACTGGCCAAATGAATCTGTGGTTTCACTGCACCGAAACAACGAAGAAAAAGTTCGTGTAAACAACAAAAAACCATGCATCTAATAAACCATGTATAAATGATACGCAATTGAAGTTACCAACTCACCAGAAGTTTTTCTTTCCAGCAGGCCACATCAGATTCTTGAACTTGTGAGTTGCCTGGGGGGATGTCACATTATCGATGCACAAGCTCTCGTAGAGTGGAATGGCCGGGTTTGGACCCATATACCCATGATATGGTTGCTCACCAACGTTCTTTACCTTGTTTTCTAAGGGAACCTCAAACAGATCTGCGGCCTGGCCGAAGATGTTGTTGTGAAGCTCTGAAGAAATTTGATCGTACTGTGCGACGAAAGAGCCGTATTCTTCGAGTGCAGAGCGGACTTGTTTGGCGGTGGACAACCAAGAACTTGATCCGGGCTTCAAGTCTTCGGCAGAGAAGTTGATAGTAGGAAGCTTGGGAGGTGCTAGGGAACCCATTTCACTAAATAATTAAACCCTAAACTTTGGTAATCTGTTACTCTAACTAGCTTGTGGAAATAAAACTTATGGATATGCAAACATGCAGTGTTGCATATGCTGCTTTTATAGTGGCTGTTCGTGCCGGTTGTTTTCCAGAAAAATCGAGCATGTGAGTAGTTAGTCATTGACTACAGACGTGTCAAACATTTCTACTATAAGAGGGTGACGTGGCAGTAGGGGAGGCCTCGATTGAAATTATAAGAGCAACAGATACTATCAGCCTTCAGAATTGAAATGTTTAATTTAGGTACGTGTAGTCAATTTTGTTCTAATATATTATCTGGTAAACTTGGACTTTTCAATTCTTGTTTAGAGAAAGTAGAACCCATAATTCACTTGATGAAATGTTTTGCAATCTTATTGTTTACATTGTTGAAGGGCTGATGAATAGTTGGGGAAGAAACACTTAAGGAATATTCTGATTTTTTGTAAGAATGAATTTATTAGTTGAACGCCACTTTATGGAATATATATGTGTAGGGGACCAGTGACATTATTTTTTTTACATAACTTTAATCCACGTTTTTGTAGAGTCTAATTTGTAATATATTTCAATGATTCGAACAATCTATCTTTTAGGTTTTCCTTCAAAGATTATGTCTATAAAAAAATTTAAAATCTGAAACATTGTGAGGGTTGGATTAAAAGTTTGTAATTTATTTGTAGAACTATATTCGTTTATTTTTTTTTTCACTGTAAATAAATGTCTTAATAATTTGAATTTGTCTAATTTTTTACAAAAAAATAATTTATGAATAATATGAAAGATAGAAGGTTCGAATACAGGTTAGCTTGGGTGAAGATTTATTCGGGTACAGATTAGGTTGCCCTATATATATATAGATTGCTTAAGGGGAGGGATTCCTATTTTTTCAAAAAAATAGGGACACGCTCCCCACCGTTAGATTGATTTTAATGAAATTGTGTAGTTGAGATTAAAATACAAGCTACACAATCTCAACCACACAAATTTATTAAAGTTAAATCCAATGATGGGGAGAGTGTCCCTATTTTTTTTAGAAAAATAAGCATTCCTCCCCTTAAATAATCTGTACATGTATATATATATATATATATGTATGTATGTATGTGTATGTGTGTGTGTGTGTGTGTATGTGTGTGTGTGTGTGTGTGTGTGTGTATATATTCGTTTCGAATTATAAAGCAACTTTCCGCCAAACCTTTCTAGAATAAGATGGCCAAGCGTTCAATGTATTTGAACTCAAAATATATAAACATGGAGAATATTCTTCGAGACTTTCCAAGCTACGATCCTCTTCTGATTTACTCTTTCTCAGGATCTAAGTGTTTCAATAGGAATATGACTCCTTAAATTAATTATGTTACAATATTTATAATATATAGCGTTTGAGAAAATTTATATGTGTACGAAATCTTCTAGTGATTATAATAAAAAATTACATTCTTATAATTATTGAAAATTTTCTTATTAAAAAGGTTAAAATTTCTACCATAAAATTGATTGTTAATATGAAGAGTATAATGACTTTTTGTAACAACCCATTTCAAAAATTTCATTTTAATTAATTAAAATTACTAAAATACGCTTAATTATGTGAAGGTTGACATCCGTTGACCTTCGCCTGATGACATGTTGGAATTGTTCTTATATTTTATTTTCGTAACTCTAGTCGATAAGAACGCGTAGGCGTGATCGGAATCGAATGCAAAGTCAAAACGAAACTTGTACAAAATTTTGAACGTAAAGGCATTCCGGTAATCTCACAAGTGGAGATTTTCCCCACTTTTGGACCTTTACATGGGTGACATGTGGCACCCTCTGTTTGTTGCCTTTTTCTTTCCCCTCCCGTGAATCTTTCTCTAGAACTCTCCCTCATTCTCTCGTATCCCTCTCTTCCGTCTTTCCTCTCTAGCGAACCAAGCATATACACACACCCACACCTACAAACAACAACCACAACGGTCACCACACCATCAACATCATTTCCCCTACGAGTTCTACAAACCCAGAATAAGGAGAAACCCTGATTTCTCACTGTGCAAAAAGGTGATCCGTTGAGTTCTCACCATTTTTCGACGAGGTAAGCTCAATAACTACTCCAAATCTTTACAGATCGTGTTTAGAACTATACTTAGGTAATTTTTTAGACAAGTTGGTATTGTTTGGACGCAAAGAGAACAAGAAATATATTTCCAGTTTTCCGGCGAGATTTTGTGGCTTACCAGCCATTTTTCGGTTGATCCCGACGTCAACTCCACTTCATCTTGGTACGACTCGAATCCTCACTCTCCTAGCTTCATTTTAGTTTTTGAATGGTGAGCTTTGGTTAAGTTTTGCCACCAAAACGGAGTCAGGGAAGATTTCCCGGCCAAAACTCCAGTTATCTCTTTCATTGGTCCGGTGACCCGCGAGTGGAAACCAGGTCGAACCCAAACCATAACCCTGAACCGGCCCAAAAACCCATATGGAGCCAACCTAAACCTTTAGGCCAGGCATCACATTAGCCTAGGCCCAACCCGATTCCCTTAGCCTATGCCTAATAATTTGAGCCTAAACCAAAGCCCAAAACCTAAATTGAGAACTGGCCCAACCTAGAAACCCAATCCACGGTCGGTGCGTGAATCGCACGTGGAGCACACGCGTCTCAGCCGCCGCCTACGACGGCACCGGCGACTCAACTCGGCGGGTGGCGGCGCGTGGGTGTACCCAAGGTCCATCCTTAGGTTTTTCGACGTGCCAAATCTGAATCCATTGTCTGTTTCCTAAAATTCGACCGTTTTGGTAAAGTTTTATTAAATGTGCTCTCTTTATGTTTAGGTGCAACGGAGGGAAGTGATCCAGTCCATTCTAGTTTGAGCAGCTCTTCGATAAAACAGTACTTGTGAGTGGACATCTTCCTACTTGCTTTGTGGACTTTTATAATTATGGTAGTTGATTTATCGAAATTACATTTTATTAATGGTATTGAATTATGGGATTTGCATATATGGATTTCTATGGTTTTCGAATACCATTTTACGAACATGAATTATTTTATGGATTTCATGATTACGATTTATCTTGGATTATGAGATGAGATTTTGAGCTTGTGAGCTCCAAATTTGATGTGAGACTTTTGAGATATGTTTTTGGTACTTACCTAGTGGGTTATCATACGGCACATCCGCACACCATGGGTATAGATGTCTATGGCCATAGGACACAGTTGATGAGGAAGAGTGAGATATGATATATGATATACCCCTAGCTTCACTACCGAAAGCAGTGTCGGTGTGGATGTTATGCTATTTTATACAGCTTCACCTTTGGGTGATGGACATGTTATTCGGCTTCACCTTTCAGGTGATGGACAGGTACTACCTTCGGGCGACTATGATACCCCTAGTAGAGTACTTCACTGATACGATTTACAGATGTTTTACATGGCATGCTAGGGTTTTTATAAAACCTATATGTAGTATTATATATGTGTTTTCAAAATAAGGGGTTAGTATGTCATGAAATAAACTGGTTTTTCGTATTATTACTATTATTATAAACTTTGGTCCACTCACATTTTCTGTTTTGCGCCCCCTCAGGACATAGTGACGAAGAGTACAACCCGAGCTTCGAGGCTTTTCCCTACCAGTGATCCTGCTTACTTCCATTTACATATGTCCGTTCTTGACTCTTGTAAATTGATATTCACTTTTCTTTAGCACTCTGTTTATTGGTATGCTCTGGACATATTGCATCTTTTACTTCGGATTTGAAATCATTGATCTTTCTGTTCGTTCATGTGGATTTTGCATCATTATTATTGTCACTTAGCATTGATGGTTCTATATCATTCCTATTTGTTTTACGATTTTTAGTTTACATGTCCTTTTATATTCTTACTTGCTCCTTATCATTCGTGTTGTTCATACACTTAGGGCTTTCGTCACTCTTAAGTGTCGGCCCGCACATGCTATCCAGGTGTCATTTGGATATTTAGGATGGGGTGTGTCACCTTTACCATATTTATAACTGAATAAGAGGTTTTATTTATGATTAATTGTGCATTATTCTTTTCAGGTTATTTAGAAGGGCTATTAATGAACACCAAACAATTTGAAATCGTATAAAAGAATGACTCGTGTGCTTGATCTAGATAAAATGACTTAAGCCATCTCGAAACCAGCCGATCAAATTTATCCAAATTCTAATGAAAGTAAGTCGTACTCATTTTCATTTATAAGTGAGATATTTTAAATTAGAATTTTGTGAATGACGAGTTCAATACCAATTTATTCTCTCACCCTTAATGTAAATGTATATCGTTGTATTAAAAAAATTACATTATATACATGCATACCCCATAACAAACTAAATCACTTAAGACTTCATTTTTTAAATATTTGCTTTAAAACAACAAACACAAGGTTTTGCCATAAAGCTAATTAGTAATATAGAAAGTATCTCAATTATTTATAAGCACATAAAATGTCCCTCATCCCATTAATGCATGATTCGTTCTCAACAATATTCTACCAAGCATATCAAGTTTTGAGCTGTAGTTTGTATAATATGGATCTAAAAAATAAATAAATATCGGCCGTCGTGACGTCGTCTACCATCTTACGGACCTCTTTTTAACACACAAAATGATACAACTAAACATATTATTAATTACCAATCAACTAAATGATCTTGACAGTAAGAATATCTTAATTTTAGACAAAGACAGAATATATTGAGTCTTCATTATTCTAATATTTTCTTTTTGGTCAAATAATAAACTTGCTATCTGGCATCATCATGCACGATTGTTTATACAGAATTTTCAAACCTCTTTTATTTATTATTTTTTTATCAGATGTAAATTGAGCATCCCGCCGCCACAGCTGTTTACAACGTACAGCTGGGGATTCATGTCATATTTGTTAGCGGTGGTAAACTCGGCACTATGTAACGTCGGTAGTCGTTGCCTGTTCGGGTTATCTTTTATTTTTAATTGAGCTTTCATACTCTTTTAGGTCATTTTGTTTGTTATTATTATTATCTTTATGCTGCCTCTTTTATTGAATTTGTAGAAATTGTGTTGTATGTTTTTTGGCTAATAAATTACATATCAAATTTTTATTAGGATCTTAAATTTACTATCTACGATATTTGCTTGTATCTCTGAAATTCATGTCAACAAACAAAAAAGTACATAAAAAGCATGCTTCTGACGCATTACGACATTTCCTTGTATCCCTGAAATTCATGTCGACAAACAAAAAAGTCCATAAAATCATGCTTCTGAAGATACAATTGTCATATAAATTCTTGTCCAAAAAACAGTGAATAGTCAATATTCTTGACCCACTAGAAACTTGAAACAATGGTTTTAAAAAAAATGAGAATTTGTTGTGGGCTAATTCAGTCAAATAATCTTCGAAAGGTTGTAAAAGTGGAAGATCCATAAAAGAAAGGAGATCGTGTTCAAGCTTATTTGCTAGTTTGTTCTGTTGCTACTCAATATTTTCTTCTACTTTTTTTTTTTGTTGAAATATTTTCTTCAACTTTTCGATTCTTAATTTACGAGGAAGATGAAGTTACATTTGCAATCTTTTGCGCAATTGCATTGTCATTTAGTATTTAATACGTGCATAAACTCAATTGCAGGTCATTTATTAACAAAAGAAAAACTCATAGACAATTTTTGAGATATAAAAGAAAGACGAGCATCATATTAATTGAATGCACTGATTTTTCTTGTGTAAAAATTGAAAATTTTCTTGTAACTTGTTTTATGTTTTGGCCTCATGCATGAAGTGCTAGCTCCGCCACTGGACATGGTTATTCATTAAAATATTTCGTCTACTCCCTTTCAACTTCGTTTTTCAGTGGAAGTGTTTCCCTTGGCGTTGGTCCAATATTCTCATCTATAATCCTTGTTTCGTTCACCAATACTACTTTCATTCCAAAAGGAGCCCTATTTAGAATGTTGTTCTAATGAGGAGATGACGTTCGGGAGGACATTTTTGCCCTAGTATTCGGGCTCCCGAGAAATCATTAAAACGCAGTATATATATAATTTTAAGTTTTCTCCCGCTTTTTAATAAAAGAGAGAAAAGAAAGAATATGAAGAGGATGAGTACAAGGTAGAAGAAAGTGAAGGGAAAGAATGTGAATCCGAAACCGAATTGAAAATTAATCAATCCCTTACAGAGAAAAAATACACAAAGTCAAAATCAGTAGAAGAAAAAGAAACAAGAAAGAAAAAAAAATTATGTAAATAAATAGCCACAACAATTTGAAAATTAGTAACCCTTACAGTGTAACTTTTGGATTTATCTCAAATTGTTTTAAATATATTGTTAACACGAAGAATGGTATAGCTAATACATATTATTAGCCACTTATTACTATAATTAAGTGAGAGGCCTTAACTTTAATTATCGTCAATGACGAATTTGAACCACATTATTGCTGACCTATTGTGAGGGTTGGCATACTCTCCGCTCTCTTAGTGTAGATAATATTGGTTGTTTTAAAAAAAAAAATTATTAAAGTATAATGACTAAAAGTGATCATTACTTTAATAATTTTTCTTGGTCAACATACAACCACACTCTTGCACCTTGCATCATCAGTGACACATGATTTTATCTATTATAGATGCAAGCCACTATACGTTAGTGTCAACTCATTTTTTATAGGACAAGGATTCTCTCTGAATCCTTTTTTTGAGGATTCCGGAATCAATCAATTGTGTTTGTTTATCGTACATCTGCGGTCAGTTTTCGTTAGGTACTATTTATATTTAATTTTAAATTTAAAAATTAAAATGATTTCTAATCGCACGATATATGATGAACAAACATGATTGATTAATCCTCCGAATCCCCACAAAGAGGATCCGCAGAGGATCCTATTCCTTTTTTATAAAGGACAAAATTTTTACACCATGATAATCTAAATTATGGAAAGGGGTTTCAAACTTAGTGTAGATTTTTTCAGGTCAACGGGCCGAGGGCCCCATTTCAACAACACCGATACTGTTCCCAACTTGGTAGTTTCCATCTGCCAAATCCGTCAAGTGTGAAGTTTTATCACAAAAGGACTCAGTGTTAGTTAAAGTGGGGTAATCCTATTTAAATTGCTTTTCTCCTTTCCCTCTGGCCGATGTGGGATTCTAACATGCCCCCGCACGTGAGACCCCATTTTGTGGGTCATACATGGAGATCCACACATCGGCAACTACGTGGAGCCAAGTCGGGGCTCACCCAACATGCTGGACCAAATGGGGACCCACCCAATCACGTGGCAACATTGGCCTACGTAGAGCCATGTTAGGACTCACCCATTGCGTAGGGCCAAAGAGGACCCACCCAATCACGTCGCTATATGAGCCTGTCCTCTGACTCTGATAACATATAGAATTTTTCAGGTCGATGGACCGAGGACCCTATTCCAACAACACCGATATCGTCCCTAACTTAGTAATTACCACCTGCCCAATCCGTCAGGTGTGGAGTTTTATCACAAAAGACTTTGATGTTAGTTAGAATGGGGTAATCATTTTTAAATTGCTTTTCTCCTTTCCCTCTGGCCGATGTGGGATTCCAACACTTAGGTACACTGTACCGATATACATATGTACTTAATTATCTTAGAAACATATGAGCCAATCCTTCGTATAGTATCATGTCTCCCAACATTTTTGTATTTATAAACAATATTATAGTGACGAGAATCGAAATTAAAACATCGGTTGTCACTAGTACAAAAACATACTTGCGCGACAAAGCAAATTACGTTGCACAAAGTATGTTTGCGCAACGGTGACAACAAAACGTCACGCAAAGACGTTTTGCGCAACGGAACTTTGCGTGACGAAGACCGCCATCACCCAAACAGCTTCTCGCAACAAAGGAACACCTTCGTCGCACAATGTTGGGAAAAAAACGGTAAAAGCCTTGGTTTGGAGCCAAAATCTCGCGTAACGCACAGGCCACGTCGAGTAAACATCCTTTGCGCGATGAAGGTACACCTACGTCGCGCAAAGCTATTTTGCGCAACTAATGCACACCTTCGTCATGCAAAGTCAACAACTTTGTGGTATAACATAAGATTTTGTGGTATCCATTTGTGTAAATATTTTAAATTGACAATCAAATTAGTTCATTGTATTCATATAGGATCAAGAAGTGTAACTGTAAAAAATCAATAAAATCAGAGTTAAAATAACTGTTAAATCGTGATTTTTCGTTTATAACTGTTGAAAAGTTTTGTCCTGTTACTTGATATCTGAATGTTTATTTTTTGTGATTTTTGGTGTGTGCGATCTCGAAGCATATACAAACAAGTTTGACAATTGGATCGTTGAAGCTAATTTCGTAGAATGCGTATCCCATCAAAACAATAGATTTATTAACATTTAGAGTTTATTTATACTTTTATTATGTATAACATAAGATTTTGTGGTATCCACTTGTGTAAATATTTTAAATTGACGATCGAATTAGTTCATTGTATTCATATAGGATCAAGGAGTGTAGCTGTAAAAAATCATCAAAATCGGAGTTAAAACTACCTTTAAATCGTGATTTTTCGTATATCACTGTCGAAAAGTTTTGTCCCGTTACTTGATCTCTGAATGTTTGTTTTTTGCGATTTTTGGCGTATGCGATCTTGAAGTATATATAAACAAGTTTGACGGTTGGATTGTTGAAGCTAGTTTTGTAGAATGCGTATCTCATCAAAACAATAGGTTCACTAACACTTCGAGTTTATTTATATTGTCATTAAGTATAACATAAGATTTTGTGGTATTCATTAGTGTAAATATTTTAAATTGAAGATCGAATTCATTCATTGTATTCATATAGGGTCAATGAGTGTAGTTGTAAAAAAATCATCAAAATCGGAGTTAAAATAACCGTTAAATCGTGATGTTTCGTTTATAACCGTTGAAAAGTTTTGTCCCGTTACTTGATCTCTGAATGTTTATTTTTTGCGTATGGGATCTCAAAGTATATACAAACAAGTTTGATGGTTGGATCGTTGAAACTAGTTTCTTAGAATGTGTATCCCATCAAAACAATAGATTCATTAACACTTGGAGTTTATTTATACTTTCATTAAGTATAACATAAGATTTTGTGGTATTCACTAGTGTAAATATTTTAAATTGAAAATCGAGTTCTTTCATTGTATTCATATAGGGTCAGGGAGTGTAGCTGTAAAAAATCATCAAAATCGGAGTTAAAACTACCGTTAAATTGTGATTTTTTGTTTATAACTGTCGAAAAGTTTTGTTCCGTTACTTGATCTTTGAACGTTTGTTTTTTGTGATTTTTGGCTTATGCCATCTCGAAGTATATTAAACAAGTTTGACAATTTGATCGTTAAAACTAGTTTCATAGAATGCATATCTCATCAAGTTCAATGATATATATATATATATATATATATATATACACATATTAAATAGCTTTAAATTTATTTATGTTGTACATATAACAGTTAATGTCACATCCCGGCCCGAGGCGGATCACTTCCCGAGCTCACTTCACCACCGTAGCACGATATTGTCCGCTTTGGGCTTACCATTCCCTCACAGTTTTGTTTTTGGGAACTCACGAGCAACTTCCCGATGGGTCACCCATCCTGGGAGTGCTCTCGTGCGCTACTCGCTTAACTTCGGAGTTCCCATGGAACCCGAAGTCAGTGAACTCCCAAAAGGCCTTGTGCTAGGTAGAGATGAGAATATACATATAAGGATCACTCCCTTGGGCGATGTGGGATGTCACAATCCACCCCCCTTAGGGGCCCGACGTCCTTGTCGGCACACCACGGCCAGAGTTAGGCTCTGATACCAATTGTCACATCCCGGCCCGGGCCAGATCACTTCCCGAGCCCGCTTCACCACCGTAGCACGATATTGTCCGCTTTGGGCTTACCATTCCCTCACGGTTTTGTTTTTGGGAACTCACGAGTAACTTCCCGATGGGTCACCCATCCTGGGAGTGCTCTCGTGCGCTACTCGCTTAACTTCGGAGTTCCCATGGAACCCGAAATCAGTGAGCTCCCAAAAGGCCTCGTGCTAGGACGGATCACTTCCCGAGCCCGCTTCACCACCGTAGCACGATATTGTCCGCTTTGGGCTTACCATTCCCTCACGGTTTTGTTTTTGGGAACTCACGAGCAACTTCCCAGTGGGTCACCCATCATGGGATTGCTCTAGCCCCCTTCTCGCTTAACTTTGGAGTTCCTATGGAACCCAAAGCCAGTGAGCTCCCAAAAGGCCTCGTGCTTGGTAGAGATGGGAATATACATATAAGGATCACTCCCTTAGGGGATGTGGGATGTCACACTTAAGAAATTGAATGGTATGTATATTTATTAAGTAGCTTTAAATTTATTATTGTAGTTCGGATCGAGTTTTTGTTAGAAAAATATATTATTGTGGGTTTTAATTGAATTTGAAGGGAGTAAAGTCACATTTTCAGTAAATTTTATAATAATTTTTTTTTAAATATAACGCAACACCAAGATAGGGTCATTGCGCAAAAACATTTTGAGCGACGCCAGGATGGGGTCGTCATGCAAAAACACTTTGCACGACGTCATAATGTATACATGCATTGCGGAATTTGTTAAAATTTTGACGGTGCAATTGTAAAAAATAGGCGTTTTTTTATTTATTTAAATTTTCCCAAATTTTGCCTGTCTCTCTTCCCTATCTTTCTCTCTCACTCAGTCTCTCTCATCTCTTCCCTCTAGCTTATCTTGCCTATCTCTCACTCAGTCTCGCGTAGCCTTCCTCTCGACTGGACCCAGGCAGCCTTCTCCTCATCCTTCCTTCCTCCCGACTGCACCCAGCCAGGTATCCATCTTTTCTTAATTCTTTATTTTTCTTCTTTCTAAGGTCAGAATCAGGCTTTAATGCCTTAATTTGAAGATTTTGGTATTGTAAATAGATTTAATTTAGAAAATTAAATTAGAAATTGGGGGTTTTAGTGTTAAATCGAATTTTGGAGTTTTTTCCTTGGACTAACAGCTCAAACTAGTACTCAAACTAGAAACATTAGACAAAGTAATACCACAGGTTCGTAACATGCTAATCTTTGATATATCACTTGTAGTCTTGTTTATAGTTCTCAACTGATGAGTTTGATTATTCACAGGATGGCTCTGTAGATCCTGATTCTTTGAGCACTAGCATTAGCACTGATATAGAACCTCTTCCAGGCCTTGCATCCATACTTGAAGAGCTAGTACAGGAAGATGGGTAACGTTTTTGCATTTTTTGGTTTAGGAAGAGCTATTTCTGAATATTTTAATGGCTTTGATTGAGAGACAGTATTTATCTGAACATAAACTGCTGATAGTTACCAAAAACTAGATTTTGTCAGAACTTCTACAAAGTGTGAATAAAGAAATAAATGATTAACTACTGAACTCCATTCACGAACTCATACACGGAATTGAGGTCACAAAGATGACTTTTTTTGGCAACAAACTAGTCCAGCCTCTTTTGCTTCTCATTAGATAAAAGTTAATTCATTATAATTTTCAAATAAATTATTTCAAAATTGTACTTTTAAGCATGAAGTTCTCCCAAGCATTGGTTCTGAGTAAATTATATGTTTTCAAAGACTGAGCGGTAAACTATTGTGGTTCAGATTATTAGTTTGTTAGGATGGTCTTGTTAGCTAGTTATGTTTTTCCTCTTAATTCCATTTTCCACTTTAGGTTTGCTCTTTTCGGACTTTGCAGATAAGCTGTTTGAGCCTCGACCGCCTTTGGATTTCAAACCACCTTCGGAGAAGAAAAAGTGCCCACCTTTGACAGGTACAGCCATGAAAATAAGTGGTTAGCATTGGACAGAGATCAATAATTGATTTATTAAGTACTAGAACACAACTCCTAAGTTGACGTTACATTTGTATACTCTGTATACAGAGATTAATATTTGATTTATGCAGTAGTAGTACATGACTCTTAAATTGAAGTTGCAGTTGTATACTCTGTATACCTTTTTTTTTTTTCATGTAGTAGTACATGACTCTTAAATTTAAGTTGAAGTTGCAGTTGTATACTCTGTATACTCTATATGGGAAGTCGCTCAATTTATTTACTATTTCTTTCATCAATGTAGATTTCATTTCCAATACACCTCATCATGTGTGTCGAAGTTTTAGCCTAATATATAAACAACACAAATCAAGTGATGTGGAACACGTGTGGCCGTTGTATTTCACATGCGAGACATGTTTTGATACTATGAAAAATGTTAAGGTTCTACTATAAAACCAATTAGCAATAGAAAATAACATAATTTACTTAAATTCATGCAAGACTTATTATTCTATTAATATTAAATTCATTCTCAACATTATCTCTTTTTCTGACAACTGTAAGCTTATGAATTTTCGTTTGGATATAAATTTCATCCGGAGGCAAGAGATTAGTCAAAGGATTCCTAGCAATCCGACAGACTGGTCAATAAAAATCAGTACTTCTGATATCTGAAGCAACATAGGTATGTCGTTGGATCCGATAGAGCAGCAATAATTGAAAATGAAGAAAAAAGTTGGTGACAGTATAATGCAGTGGAGGGCTATAGCATAAGAACCTGGCTTTTCTTCCTTTTCGGTTTCCATATATTTACATTTCTTTCTATTTGTGCGGTTATAATTAAATCAAATCAACATTTTATATCACTATTATTTTTTATCTTATTATCTTTATAAAAAAAATCAATATAAAATGTTGACATGGCTTAACCATGACCGCATAAAATAGGAAAAGATGAGAGTGTATGAAAATTGGAAGGGCAGAGAAGCCAGGTTCATAACATAAGGGTGGCCTACGTTTTTCGAAAGAATAATGTTAGGTAGATTAGAATTTTAAATTTAATTTTCAACTCAAATGACGTTTCACTAATAAGAAATAAGCACGTTAATTATCTTTTAAATACTAATTTAATTATCAACAAACACATCATTTAATTGACAAAATTTAATTTAAAACTGTAATCGCTCTAACCTTTTTTTAAAGCTACCAAAGAAACATGCATTCACCAGCATGAAAAGGTTGGATGTAAAGAGGACAACTTTGACTTACCATTCAACTGTTGGACTTACCATTCAATTGTTATGAAATTTACGTGTATGCCATCAAAGCCAAATGCTTAACCAACGGGCATGTTATACATTTCTTTGAAAACCAATCTTAAGTGTATCCAAACTTTAGTGAGTTTGGAAGAAAATACGTAGTGTCTTACTTATGAGAATTGAGAGAGAAAAAACTCAATGAACTGAGAGAGAAATCCTCTTGAGTGAATCCATGAGAGGAGCATAGCCACCTTAGTGAGAGTTGAGTCACTTTAGTGAGATTGTTGCTTTTAATCTCATTATTCTATGTGGTTTGCCACCCCCATTTTCCGTTCGTCAATATGGTTTGTTGGTCCTTCTTTCTGACGGTGGCTGCTTCGCGACGATAGTGTGACTATTTGGGTAGAGACAACTAGTCCCTTTGTTCAGATCTAGGGTTTCTTTCCTTTATGGCTGTTATGGGCTCTATTATTGGGCCTGGTCTTGTATTTCTTTATGTTTGGGTTGTTTTGGATTGTTTGTAGAGTTTTCTGAATAAGAATATCCTCACTTATCTACCTACATGACGGAGGCCTACTAACTTCTTCATCGAAGGCCTCAAACGATTCACCATTGACTTGGTACTAACCTTGTTAAAGAGTGCAACTAATGGGTGCAGCTGGAAAGACCTGCACCTACTACGCTTTATCAAACATTCCCGTTTCCATTTTATGCCGTTGTCATCTTCGTTTTTTAATGAAATTAGCTCTGCTTGACCCAACAAAAAAAAAATAGAGAAAGAATTGGAATAGATTTGTCATCTATGAGATTCGAACTTAAAACTTTGCACTTACAAGTGAAAATGAATATTATTAGATCGTAATACTAGGTGACATCTACTACTCTTAGATCATTTAATTTAGAAATCAAGAAAATTGCATTGGTTGATATTTTTTCCACTAAAAATCCACCAAGTGTTAGTAATTTAGTTGGTCAATTACTTAATCAATAATCAAATAATTTAGAACGTGGAAAAAAAAACCCAATTAGGTATTCCACATAAAGGGGTGTGTGAAGGCTGCCAACTTTATTATGTAACCCTAACCCGACTATGCTTGGTGAGAAATATGCAAGTACAAACAAGAGCTCGAGATTTCCTTATACATCTTAAATCTCAAGGGGTTGTGGGGTTGGCTACATAGAGAAATATCCACCTTAAGTTTTGGTGCCGCTTCAATCTATGCAAGTACAAACAACAAATTCTAACAGTTGCTTAATATATGCAATATTTCCTTGACAAATACAATTGCAAAAATAACCTAGAAAAACCTATAGAACGCGCGTATATAAGAAAAACCATAATGGTTATAGGACAAGTTTTTTATTATAAAAATTTATATTTCATCACAATCATAAATTGTAGTTCTTGCGTGCCACAAATTACACTTTGATATAATAATATGAGCAACTTGTGATGATCGCACAAGGGCTTGTGACTCGCGAAAGTTAGTGCAACGTGAGATCACATGCATATTTTGTAAAACATATGAAATGGTTGTTGATAATTGGATTATTATCTTAGTGTTGAGTAATGTGTTTGTTTTCTATTGGTGACACATCACATGATTTGTAAATTTGGTCTAAAAAATTGATCTACCTTAGCATTATCCTTATTATATAGTTTATAATGAGAACTTTAGGGCATAGGTAGATAGTTATGTAGTTAATTAGCGATAAGTGAAGGATTTTCCTAGTAGATTATCATAGAATATTGCTTATATTCAAAATATGTAGTTTGTTAATTAGCAAAAATTAAGTACTTTTCGTCGTTGTATACGAAATAAAATGATGAAAGTATCACAAGGAAATGTTGGACATTGCATTAAGGTAAGGTAGCCAAAAAATATTATTAGAGAAGGTACACCAAAGCCTTACTCATAAACTGAAATAAAACATGTCAAGATCGTTTAAACAATTATACACGACTGAAATTACTAGGAAAACATGCGTACTACGACGGCGGATCCAAAACGCGCTGCCTGCCGAGTCTGAAACAGTAAGAAACTGTTTTGCTACTATCACACACCAACGGAAAAACAGAGATTTTCAAAGTTCAGCGCGAGTGTGGGCGAGAGATACAAAAAAAGGACCTCTTATCTCTGGCCTTTCTTTTTCCACAAGTCACCAAACATTTTTATGCCGGAACCCTTTCTTTTACCACTACCGAACCCATCGTCCAAGTCATCAGCAGGTGACCCCACAAAGCCCGCGTAGCCACCAGCTGATGTCTCAAATACTCCACCAAAGTGTTTATCCATGGAGCCACACCTCTCAGAAATCCTACCATTCAACTCCGCACCCCCGGCAAGTACTACAGCAGCAGCATCTGCTGCCTTTCTCCACTGCTCTGTCTGCACTCTCATCTTCTTTATTTCTGCTTCCAGCGCTTCCTTTGCTCCTTCTGTTGCCTGCAGCTTCGCATTCAACTGACCTGCAGTTGCCTTATTTGCTTCCAGCTCTTCCTCAAGCTGACTTAACTTCAAGGACAGTTCCTTTTCCTTTTCTTGGGCAGATAAAATATTTAATGCTGCTTCGTTTAGCTGATTCTTTAAACCCTGATTTACTTCACCAAACACTGCTAGCTGCTTTGCTTTCTCTTCCAACTCAGCTTTTAGCATGTTTATCTCATCATTCTTCAAATGTAGGTCACGTAAGGCGGAAAGTTTCTCTGCTTCCAAAATTGATGGCGGTTCATCTGATATATCAACTGGTTTGGTCTCTTCTTCCACCTGATCAGTCTCACTAGGTTCAACCTTGGGCTCAACTGTAACTTTTTCTACTGGGACTTCATAAACATCAGTTTCCTTTTGGATGTCATCTGGAACTTCATCAGAGGAACAACTGTCCGTTTTGTTAGAGTCTTGATTTTCCAATGGAGGATGCGTTTCATGGATCTTCACTGGCTCAGAAGTCACAACTCGTTTCTTAGTTTTATTTTCCAGTTTCTCCTGTGCTTCTTTCTTTGCAGCCTCGGCTGAAGCCAACTGCTCTTTCAGTATCTTTAGCTCTTCTTGTGCTTGCCCAAGTTGGGATTCCAAATCAGCCAGGCGGGTTCCAATCTTCTTTTGGTTTAGTGGATCAGACTGTGTACCTCTTGGGGAACGGCGATCCCCTCCTAGCTTTGGACTTCGATCAGTTATTGGTCGATGATGGAGTGGATCTGAATCAGAGCTTGATGTCCTGAGCTGATGTGAGCCTCGAGGAGACGGCCTTTGAACCATTTCAGAGCCCCTATTCCCCAAAATCCCGACAAGAATTTTCCATCAGATACTAATTCCATTTTCATATGTAATTGCATATCTCTCAGGGTCAAGCTTAAGACATGTAATATAAACCACTAGAGTTCAAATAATGGCCTGATTAAGCAAATGAACCTCTTAGACACTAAATACAGATCACATTTAAGATCTTGATTGGTTCTGTTGTCAAGTTATGCTGCACAATGTACTAAAAAATGATAACCTTCGGACCAGCAAGGTTAAGAAGAAAAAAAAAATCTACTGCAAGATTAAGGAATATACATAAACACACATGGACACAAAAGCCAAACCCAGATTACGGATAATGAGCATTCTCTAACCTTGATCGCGGCATTTGCTGCGCTTAGAAGATTCGCTGAAGATGAAGGGTTGTGTTCTGCTAACTTGTGATCATAAGAAAAAATGTAGTTAGAATAAAACACATAACTGAGTAATACAAGAATGATATTCGACATATACTGTCGTACTATCGACTAAAAACTCCATGCTCTTGCATATCAATGCTAAACATACTAGGGCAATTACAATCAAATATCCCTGCTAAGCACAGATCCAGCATAGTCTACAAGCACAGATGAACCCATCTGGAAAAATGATTTTCTAAAACACGTGACATGTTTCCGTTTTCGGGTGCTCTGTGCTCATCCGAAGGTAAATGGGAATGCAGATTTACACACCAAATGGTCCTAGTGTCACGGGATGACTCTTTAAGCCTTCCGCCCGTGCGGCACTTAGACTTGAAAACCTCGATGAACAAGCTAAGTAAGCCTTTGAAGCCTCGCTTCCCCGGATTGAATCACAAAGAAAGCTAAGATAGCTTGGAGAATGCTAAGATCACTTAGAAGATGGGAGAATGGAAGCTTTGTATTGAAACTTAGGAGAACTTTACAATTGCTTACAACTCTTGGATGCCTTGGCCAAATGGCCTTGCCTCCTATTTATAGGCCTAAGTAACCTCCTCAATGGAGGGTTCTAGAATTGCCTACTTACATCCAAAAATATCTAGAATAGTTCTAGATACAACTTGCCTAATCTAGATTGTTCTAGGTGAGGCTTGAATATGTACACTTGTGTGGATTGTTCCAGAATGCCCTAGATTATCTTGAACGCTCCGCCATGTTCTTGATTTCTCCGGGGTGTTCCGGAAGCTTCCATGAAGACAAGGCTTTATGGGCTTAGATATATGATGTCTTGGGCATTTTCTTTGTTTGTAACATGTGGCCCGTGACATCCTCCCCCACTTAAGCCGTCGACGTCCTCGTCGACTCTTGCCTCTCGAAGGTATTAATCAAGTCCTTATATTGCCATAAGGACGTCTCCTTCTCCCATGTCGCTTCGGAGTATGGTAGCCCTTTCCATTTGACAAAGTACTCCACATGCTTTGGTTGTCTTGGTCGCACCACGACACGCTTGGCTTCAATGCTCTCCACTTCTTTGTCAAATGCCTCCGTCATCAAAGGGGGTGCTCGATGAGACTCACCTCGGCTTGGTTCCTCATTGTCTGCATGATAAGGCTTCAAGTTGCTCACATGGAACACCGGGTGGAACTTGAGACGGGGTGGGAGTTCCACGACATAAGCGGCTTTGCCAACCTTCTTGATGATAGGGAATGGTCCCTCATATTTCCGCAACAAGCTCTTGTGCAAGCCACGAGTACTCTTGTGTTGAGACGCATTAAGCTTCACAAAGACTTGGTCGCCGGTTTGGAACTCCACATTCCTTCGCTTACGATCCGCCCATTTCTTCATCTTCTTTGAAGCCTTCTCCAAATGAGCTCGAGCAAGTTCGTGGGCTAATTGCCACTCCTTAGCGGTTTTGAAAGCGGCTGGACTATTCCCCGTGTAGCCAGTCGCGACCGTGTTCGGGGTCAAGGGTTGTTGCCTTATAGCCAACTCGAACGGACTTTTCCCCGTCGACTCCGAACGTTGCAAGTTATAAGAGAATTGGGCAACATCAAGTAACTTAGCCCAATCTCGTTGATTGGCACTAACATAGTGCCGCAAATAAGTCTCCAACAATGCATTAACCCGCTCCGTTTGTCCATCGGTTTGGGGATGAAAAGCGGTGGAGAAGTCTAATTTTGAGCCAAGTAGCTTGAAGAGCTCCTTCCAAAATCTACCCGTGAAGCGAGCATCTCGATCACTAACTATGCTCCTCGGAACACCCCAATACTTCACCACTTGCTTTAGGAACAAGCGTGCAGCTACTTCGGCTGTGCACTCCACCGGTGCGGGTATGAAAGTGGCATACTTGGTGAATCTATCGACCACGACGAAGATAGATCCACATCCATCAGACTTGGGCAAATGTGTGATGAAATCCATGGTTAAGCACTCCCATGGTCTTGATGGGGTGGGAAGCGGTTCCAACAGTCCTCCCGGTTGCCTTTGTTCCACTTTGTCTTGTTGGCACACAAGACAAGTCTTCACGTAGGAATCTACATCATCCCGCATTTGGGGCCAATAATAAGCCTCACTCACCAAGGCCAACGTGCGGTGAGTGCCAGGATGTCCTGCCCACATCGAGTCATGGCACTCCTTCAGGATTTCTTTCCTTAAGCTTCTCCATTTTGGGACGTAGATCCGCTTGCCCTTGGTGTATAGCAAGCCGTCTTCAAGCCAAAACCTTCTTGTCTTCCCTTCCTTGACAAACTCCACAATGTTCTTGGCTTGGACGTCATGTGATAAACCTTCTCGGACACGGCCCAAGAGATGGCTTTGCGGCTTGAGTACCGTAGCCATTAACTCTACTCGTCTACTTAGAGCATCGGCCACCACGTTCTCCTTCCCTTGCTTGTACTCTAGCTTGTAATCAAACTCCGCTAAGAACTCTTGCCACCTTGCTTGCTTAGGTGTGAGCTTTTGTTGGGTTTGAAAGTAGCTAGTGGCAACGTTGTCCGTCTTGATGATGAAGGAAGTACCAAGCAAGTAATGCCTCCAAACTCTAAGGTAATGGATGATGGCGGTCATCTCCTTTTCATGGGTCGTGTACCTCTTCTCGGCATTGTTTAGCTTGCGACTTTCATAGGCTATCGGGTGTCCCTCTTGCATCAACACTCCTCCTATGGCAAAGTCGGAAGCATCAGTGTGCAACTCGAATGGCTTACTAAGGTCGGGCAACCTTAGTACAGGCTCCTCCATTAGGGCCTTCTTCAACCTCTCAAAGGCCTCTTGACACCTGTCCGTCCATTCCCATGCCTTGTTCTTCTTGAGAAGGTCCGTTAAGGGTGCCGCTATAGCTGAGTACCCTTTAATGAATCTTCGATAGTAGTTGGCTAGCCCCAGAAAGGATCGTAGTGTTGGTACCTTGGTCGGCGGTTCCCACTCTTGAATGGCCTTGATCTTGCCCTTTTCCATCATAAGTTTCCCCTCCTTTATCTTGTGGCCAAGAAATTCTACTTCTTGGGTGGCGAAGGAGCATTTCTCCTTCTTGACATAGAGTTCATGTTCCCGAAGGGTCCTGAACACTATGCGCAGGTGCTTGACGTGCTCCTCCAATGTCTTGCTATAGATAACAATATCATCGATGTAAACAACGACAAACTTGTCAAGATAAGGATGGAATACCTTGTTCATCAATGTGCAGAATGTTGCAGGGGCATTGGTCAGACCAAATGGCATGACTTTATACTCGAACGATCCATATCTGGTCACCATCGCCGTCTTCGATTCGTCTCCAGGGGCTATCCTCACTTGGTAGTATCCCGATCGAAGATCTAACTTTGTGAAGTACCTTGCTTCACCAAGTTGATCAAATAAGTCGGCGATCAACGGCAGTGGGTACTTGTTCTTGATGGTAATCTTGTTCAATGCTCTATAGTCGATGCACAGCCTTAGGCTACCTTCTTTCTTGCGTTGGAACAAAACGGGTGCACCATATGGGGACTTGGAGGGTTGGATGTAGCCAGCATCAAGTAGCTCGTTGAGTTGCTTCCTCAATTCCTCCAACTCGGGTGGCGACATCCTATAAGGTGATTTGGAGGGAGGCTTAGCACCAGGCTCCAACTCAATCGCATGGTCGACCTCTCTCCTTGGTGGCAACTTCTTTGGCAGTTCCTTAGGCATCACGTCCGCGAACTCCATAAGGACTGCTTCCACTTGTTTCGGCAAAGGCCCGTACTTCTCCTCCCCTTCATTCAACATTAGGGTTGCAAGAAATGTGGCCTCGCCTTTCTTCCAGGACTTGGCAAATTGCATTGCCGACAAGTGCTGGGTACACTTCTTAGCTTGCCTCTCCAATGGCACCAGGCAAGGTTGTCTTCCTTCGTCCAAGATACAGAAAATATTGTAGAAGGGAATGGGAAAGGCTCGTACCTTGTCCATGAACTCTAGCCCAATGACTACGCCATAGTCGTCCATCTTGACAATGGTGAAGTCGATTTTTCCCTTCCATGCGCCAATGTCTACTTGCACATTGCGCGCAATTCCGACGATGGGGGTGGCAGCGGAATTTACCGTCTTCACGCTACCGGGCTCCTTTGTGACTCGGAGGCCAAGCCTTATAGCTTCCTCCGACGTCATGAAGTTGTGTGTTGCTCCTGTGTCCACCAACACACGCGTCGTCTTGTCACCAGTCTTGACGTCGACGAACAATGATCCTCCCTCAACTTGAGCCTTAGGTTGTGGAAGGGTTGTTTGGATGGCATTCAGGAGACGGATGCATCCCATCCTTGCATCGTTACTCTCCTCAGCCTTGTTCTCCTTGAAAACTATGGCCTTAAGGGCGTTCTTTTGTGGGCAATCTCGCATCATGTGCGGGCCGTTGCATAAGTAACAAGTGGGTTGCCAAGACTTACCCTTGCCTTTGTCATGCTTATCGGCTTTCTTCTCCTTCGGTTTGCTTGTCTCAGCCCCTTTGCTTGTCTCCGCCTTATCCTTCGGCTTATGTGCTCCCCCACTTTTCTCATGGTTACCCCTCTTCCCCGTGGACTTGGAATCACCTTGGTGGCTTGATCTAAACTCAATCAAGGATTCGGCGGCGGCAATGGCATCAGACAATGTTTGCACGTGCCTCCTTTGTAGTTCGAGTTTTGCCCAATTTTGCAGTCCACTCATGAAGTACATGAGCTTGTCTTCCTCTAGCATGTTGGGCACCTCGAATAACAAGCTCACGAAGGTGTTGACATATTCTTTGACACTCCCCGTTTGCTTGAGCCACCTTAGTTTCTCCTTAGCTTCGTACTTGGCATTTTGGGGATAGAAGTGCAACATAAGATCTTTCTTAAATTCATCCCAAGTGGTGAGGGAGAACGTACCTTGTTCAATCTCCATGCTCCGGCGACGCCACCACATAAGGGCATTGTCAGCTAAGAACATGGTTGCCGTTGCGATTTTGGACTCCTCATCTTCAAGCTTCAGGTACTTGAAGTATCGCTCCACGTTCCACACAAATGTGTCGAGCTCCTTTGCTTCCCTTTTCCCATTATAGGATTTGGGTTTAAAGGAGTCGATTACCTTGGAGTCCAACGCCTTGATTTCCCTCGGCCCTTGCACGAATTGCTTCACAATTGCTTCTTTGCAAAACGCCACATCTCCCTTAAGTTCTTTTGTGTCTTTTATCTCCTCTTGAAGCGCCACAAGCCTTGCCTCCATGTTGTCAAGGTGAACCTGGACTTCCCTCCGCATCTTGTCGGCCATGGTATTGAGGGCGCCAAGGAGCTCATCTCGTAGCCCTTCCACCAAGCCACGTAGTTCATCCTTACCATCTTCCACCATGGTTTGGATTTCCTCCTTGTCGACAACGTCCTCATCAAGTCGAGTATCGAACTCGAGTATGGTTTGTTCCACCTTCTCGAGTCGCTCCTCCATGGTCTCCATTGATGCTTGCAAGTCCTTTAACTTTGGCTTGCTCTTGGCAACATCTTGCACCTCGGCAGTACGCTCCCTTGGGTCGGAGACTCCGGACACCATTTCTCCACTTGCCATATCTTACTTTCCTTCAAGTGATTCACGAGCTTGGCTCTGATACCAGCTGTCACGGGATGACTCTTTAAGCCTTCCGCCCGTGCGGCACTTAGACTTGAAAACCTCGATGAACAAGCTAAGTAAGCCTTTGAAGCCTCGCTTCCCCGGATTGAATCACAAAGAAAGCTAAGATAGCTTGGAGAATGCTAAGATCACTTAGAAGATGGGAGAATGGAAGCTTTGTATTGAAACTTAGGAGAACTCTACAATTGCTTACAACTCTTGGATGCTTTGGCCAAATGGCCTTGCCTCCTATTTATAGGCCTAAGTAACCTCCTCAATGGAGGGTTCTAGAATTGCCTACTTACATCCAAAAATATCTAGAATAGTTCTAGATACAACTTGCCTAATCTAGATTGTTCTAGGTGAGGCTTGAATATGTACACTTGTGTGGATTGTTCCAGAATGCCCTAGATTATCTTGAACGCTCCGCCATGTTCTTGATTTCTCCGGGGTGTTCCGGAAGCTTCCATGAAGACAAGGCTTTATGGGCTTAGATATATGATGTCTTGGGCATTTTCTTTGTTTGTAACATGTGGCCCGTGACACTAGTCTCCTAAAGAGAGAGAGAGAGAGAGAGAGAGAGAAAAATGCAATGCATTTGAGTTGTTACATAATTCAAGGCTTAATTTCACTTTTACAAAACCCCATGCTCCGCATGGCCTGCATATCTCAGCTAGTATGCTTCTGGGACAGTGCAAAAGCTTTCTCAAAAGTCCCTCTTCCCCACATTATCAAATGCAGGCATATTTTTCAACCTAATGAGCTGAAACTATTTCTTGGGGTTGAAACATTGCAGTGGCACTCTCGTCATTTGACATTTTTTGGCTCTAAAATTGCATCCACTTTTCTTTGGTTCCCCTGACAAAGCTCATGTGATGTGCAGGAACGCTGAAAAGTGGATTTTTATTTTTCTTTATTTTTTTTTTTTTTTTGAGAACTGGGAATATTTCATTGCCAGGGCTGAAGCCAGAAGAAATAGGAAAGCCACACCGGGCAAGCAAATACAAAGCTAATTAACTGGAAGCAAGGGAGGTAGGTAGGCACGGATCAAAACCACACCAGTCCATTACAATCACAAAAAACTAACTAGGTGGGCAAGGTAACCCGTCTTTGTTCAGGACCCTCACAAACGAAGATGGGGTCGGATGACCCAAACCAAGTTGCACATCTCCGCGCCAAAGTGCGACACAACAAAGTCCACCGCATTGTTTGCCAATCTTGGGATCAAAGACCAGGCACATGCGTGGAAGGCTCCCTTCAGCTGCCGTATCTTGCGCACCGTAGGGAACACCTCCCAGCTACAATCCTTAATACTACCATTCACCCATGGCTATGATGATCATTCTGAATGTGTCCTATGATGATTATCATTTTATAAGATCGTGTCAAGCAATAATCAACCACGGCTAGCCAATTTCGTATTGCTTAGAGTTATAGTCGTTGAAGAATGTAAAGCCCTACATCGGAAATCTTACCAAAACAAAAAATACAACGGATCTTAATTTTTTTTTCTATTGTGAATTGCTTTGTGATAAAACCCTACACTTTATAGGTTTTGTGTCGGAGTTGATTAGTAGTGGGCCGTTGATCCGCCTTTCTAAAGCTTAACAATAATAAAGTGAACGTATAGCCTTCAAATTGACACCACTAACCTCATGTACTTTATATGAGGTGACTTTATTATTGATCTATGGAGTGAAACATTTCCAATCCATCAACAAAAGATTGAAGCAAACCAACTATCAAGGACTCTCAGAATCTCAAACATGCTGACACTGCATGTTTTAACCCAACTACAGTCCTTTTTTCAGTTGTAATTTTACATTTTCTGGAGGGTCTCGAATTCTAAATGGAAGTTAAAGTCCCAAGAAAGTGTACCTCACACTTCCAAAGTAAGACAGAAAAAAAATGCCAAGACTCAGATCCTTGAACAATAAACCAAGGGAAAGAAAAATTGTGAGTAATAAGATTTCAAATCCCCACCTTATAAAAATGCAAAAGCATAGAAATTGAGGAAATAATGGTAGAAATGGGAAGAAAATAATTCTCACCTTGCAAACTCTAGAAGTGCAGATTCCAGGCAAATAATGTCAGTGATCTGAGTGGCATCTCAACTGATGAACTCCATGAAAGACCTCGCCTTCTGAATATTAGTGACTAAAGAAAATAACCCATTTGCTAGAAAATGGTAAAGGATGGTTTCTTGAGCTCCACAAGTTGGGTTTTGGTGTTAAAAGATGACAGGTTTTTTCTTGAACATGAAAAACTAGGCGGTAAAAACTCAGCCCAGAAGAGAAGACAGCCTAGAGATAGAGAGAGGTCGCAAGTTTGAATTCAAGGTCAGTGAGAGAGTGACAGTGGTATTCAGCTTTTCAAGAAGGTGGGTGGAACAAGAAGAGGACAAAAGAGTAATTTTAAAGCATGGACTCACAATAATAATAACAAAAAAGAAAACTAATGAAAATTTTGAATTTTAACTATAAGAACAAAATAAAGTGTAATATGAATAGTATCATGATTGATTTTTTAATGTAAAAATATAATTTTTTTTTAAATAAACAGTACTAGGAGTTTTTCGTTAAAATTTCCTGATAATAATCGATGCGAAAGTAAAGAATCTTTGGGAAAATCCAACTCTGCATTTGCATCGATCTTAATCTTTCTATCTTGTCTTTTTGTCTGCTTTTGAACTTGTTCAAAGTTCAAAACTTTTTTCAAAATCTCCTCAACGTTTTCTTCTTGTTTCTTTAACGACAATTCGTGCATTTAAAATCTCTCAATATATGTGCATTTTGACAATACGTCAATACGTGCGTTTATAAAGGCAGTGCATGCAAATAAATAGACTAGTTTGGAATCACCTCCTTTGTCATCGTTCATTCCAAACAATACATCCAAAACCAAAAGTGGAGTTTCTTCTGCACATTTTTATTAGTTCTGTCATTGATTTTATGTAGCTTTGCTTAATCCAATGATTAAAAACACCAAGAATGTGTAAGAAGTGAAAAATAATGGATAATAGCAAGTGGCTTTTTAGCACAGTGATGGAAAGGTGTTGAGTCCTTACATAACAACGTGGGTTCAAATCTCGTCTGTGACTAATCTAATAAAATCTATTATTTGAAAAAAAAAAAATTAATACATAAAAATTATTTTCTTGAACAAAAATTCTAGAGATATCAAAAGTTATTCAATTGTTATCCCGACTCCCTGTCGTATTTATTTATTTATTTTATATTATTGTAAAACCATTTAAAATTCATTGTATGTGAGAGTGTTGGGAAAAGAATTGTGTAACTCTTACTAAATTCAAAACATAATAGATTTGCTTACCACAATAATTTGCGGTGAGCATTATCATCACATTTATGTCATTGAATTAAGTAACGTATCTATATTTCGTTAAATTTTTTTTTTTTTTTAAATTCGTATGGTGACCAGATTCAAATTTAACACAATGCAGCTTAATATTATTCCTTTGTTTATAATCTTTACAGCACTGGAGTGTGTAGTATTGTGTAGATACTATTACACTATGTTTGGATAAGGGAAATAAACATGGAGTTTTGGTAAAAGTTAGAATTTATAAATTGACATGCATCAATTCTCTTGTTTGGATTCATAAACATAGAAATTTAGAATTTCCGCGTGGAAAAAAAACTTGGAAATTGGGACCTCCAAATCCCAAGTTCAAATTCTATGTAAATAGGTGTCATTTCTCAATTTCTATGATTGAGAATTTAAAAATAAAAAATTTCGTATTCAATTCCATTGTTCTTTTAGTAAACCAAACAAGAAAATTTATAAGTTCTAGAAAATAAAATCTCGTCATTTCAATTTCCGTCATTTTTAAATTCCTTAGTAATCTTAAATTTCTTCACCCAAACATAGTGTTAGGGAGTGTTTGTTTGACCTCCTTAATTTTTATTAGATTGGACTAGATAAATATTAGTGTAATCCTTGTTTGTTTCCATACGAGACTAGTTTTAATGGGATTAGCTGAGACTCGCCTTCACTAAATGCGTCGCTAGCTGGGCTTAACGAGTCCCCTCAAAATCCATGGGACTAGTTAAGCACTTCCTTTTGTCCTGCTAGATTCACCTCCTCGACCTCGGTTTCGACGGCACATGCTTTAGACACAGCTTATCTCCGACGACGAACTCGTCAACTGTTTCATCTCCGCCGATTACCTCGATGAATGCGTCATCTCCGCCGATTACGTCGTCGACTGCATCTTTTTAGTCATCTTCTTCTTCCTCGCAATTGTTATGGCTGTGAAGCAACTCCTGGTGAGAGCATTTCTCTTTTTAGAATACAGTTTCAATTTTTGCACTTGAATTTGATTTGGCCGTGCTATGATTGTGAATTTCAATTTCTCTATGATTTTTTAGGTTAAAGAAATTATTAGGTTGTGGTATGATTTTTTATATCAATTTCTGTGAATTTCAGTTTCTATAATTTTGTATGATTTTTGTTTTGAAAAGCTTTGTTGGGTGATTTTTTATTTTCTTAGCCGCTGAGCTGATGGTGGATTTTGGATGATGACTTTGATGAACTAATTGGGTGATGAATGAGCTCGGATTGAGTGAGATTCTTTTCCTCTGTCACACCAAATACGTTGGCGACCATGAGAGCTTCTTCAGCGTTGGCGGCCATGCGTTGACTCCAAGCTCATACATCTGCAGGTTTAATTGGTTTCTAGGAATAACCCAACACCATGGTTGATTTTTCGGATTATGTTTGAAACCCAGATGAAGTTTTCGTTGGTGATATCATATTTGACTATCAGTTGGATCTACTTTGATATAGAAAATGAAAATATGGTTATTTGCTTACTCGATTGAATTATGTAATTTTAGTGTATATACTTGTTAATTTTGGTTGAAATTTTAATTGGTTTTTACTGCTTTGGTGTTGGATTTGAGAACTAGAAAATTTGGTTGAACTTCTGATGTTGGTTGAAATTGAAGTTGAAGCAAATAATATGGACATTTTCTTATATATCACGGGATTTTTTTTCTTTTTTTTTTAAAAAAAAAATTATCCTGCTTCTTAGTCGGCACTACACCAAATGTTTCACTAAATCAATCCAACTTAGTTTAGTCTAAGCCAGTCCAGCTTAGTCCCTGAATCTAGTCTAGTGCGTTTGTTGCACCGGACTATCTCGGACTGGACTAGCTTCAGGGACTAAGCTGGACTGACTTAGACTAGACTAAGTTGGACTGATTTAGTGAAACGTTTGGTGCAGTGCCAGACTAAAAAGCAGAATAATGAAAATAATAATAATTAATTCTATTTTTTTTTCTTTTCTTTTTCTTGTTCTAGAACACTCTCTCTGGACTAAGAAACCTCTATCTTCCCTTAGCCTTTTTTCCGTCCAAATTCCATAATTCTGGACTAAGAATCTCTCTTCCCTCTCCCTTTTTTTTGTCCAAATTCCACAACTTTCAAGAATCTTATCTCATTGAGAGAGATAACCTGCACATCCAGGGAGGCCAATGCAGCAACCAGATCGGCTCCAGGTTCTGGGAGGTCATCTGCGACGAGCACGGCATTGACCCCATCGGAAGGTATCGCGGAGACGCCGGCTCCGATCTCCAGCTCAAGAAGATCAACATCTACTACAATGAGGCCTCCGGCAGCAGGAACGTCCCCTGTGCCATCCCCATAGATCTTGAGCCCGGTACCATAGACAGCATCCAATTCGCCCCCTTCGGCCAGATCTTCCGCCCTGACAACTTCGTCTTTGGCCAGTCCGACACCGGCAGGTCAGGTCAGTTTCTGCTTAGTCTGGTGGTGTGATTTCGCAGGATAGAGTATGCTAGAAGAGGGAGATGACGTGATTCTAGGACACGAGCAACCATGAGAGAATGAGAGAAGTAGATAGAGGAGGTGAGAGAAGAGTGAGGCATCTTAGCTAGTCCCATGGTTTTGGAGAGGACACACTAAGACCAGTTAGGCCCGTTGTTAGTCGAGGCGAGTCCTCGCTAGTACCATTAATGTTAAGTCCCGAGAGCAAACAAACACGGATTGCACTAAATCTTTAATCCAATCTAATCCAATGAAAATTAAAGAGGGCAAACAAACGCCTAGTGTAAATGACCGCACTAGATTGCCAAGTTGCTCATACTTTCATAATTATAATTTCCTAGTTATATCATGGTGTTTAAGAAAAGATAGTATCATGTTAATATGATTTAGTGTTGCACTAATTGACAATAATGCAATGGGGTCACATTATTATTACAATAAAAAGACAAGATCATATGTTATGATGGTTTAGTGTTAATTTACACAAGAATCAAAACCTGTTGGTTTAACTTGGTATCAGAGTAGTTGTCTCACGTTTGAAACCCAATGGTTGTGCTCTATGTAACCCACATGTGCTCTATGTCATCCTATCTGTGTTGTCCACGTGTTTGGCATGTGAACGGGTGTGTTGAGAATGAATCTACATTGATGGGAGGAGGGACCTTGCACGGGCTTATAAGCAAGTTGAGTTACTCATCATATTACCAATTGATTTTATGGTAGAATCTCAACATTTTTCATCCTACCCCTAAACCTCCTAGAGGTTCCATTGGTACTCTCATTCGTAAGCGTTTATACTATATTTTTAGACTCAATTTGCTACAAAATTTAGAAGGCATTGGACTCAAAAAATAACTAAATGAAGTACATTTGAAATCGCAACAAAAACATAACATCCGAGATCATTATATGCAACGAAATATTTGAAATTCATTTGTTTTCTCTCTCTTTTTTTTATTCGAATCTTGGCATTGAGCATTACCATTTGGCTCTCAATCACTCAATATGTTTAAAGGCACACTTCAAATTCAAGATGACTTCAGTATTAAAGTAGACGGGATTTGGCTGCCTTCCTTGTCAATGTATAAATTTGCAGCCCCTAAAGCTTCGTCTAGAGAAGATAAATTCAGGGTGGATACTTGTATTACTTGCATTTGTACACGGAGTTCGTAATTCAAATTAAAATGTACAAAATTGATATTTGTTAAAAGAAAAAAATACATTCATTTCCGCCTTAAATTTCTAATAAATATTAATTTTTCTGGTACATTTCATATTTATTTCAAAAGTTTTGTTTTTTCAAACAATAGATATTTTGAAAAGAAAAAAAAAGTGATAATATTATTGAAATACAAGCAATTGACAAAACAATAAGTTCTTCAATCCAATATTGTAAGAGACGTGACAATGAACTCTGGTTAAACTTTTATAGTGACCAGCCCCAACATAACCTTTGAGATGAATCCAAACGCAAACTAACATAATCTAGAGAAAATTAATACTTAAAAAGAAGAATCAAGAATCAAAGACAAAACCTTGGGTATGGAGAGAGAGCAACGAGTGCCTTGCACATTCAAATGTTCTAGTTACTTGTGGTGAAACCCTAACTTTGGTCGGAAGCCAGATTTGACAAGGTCAAATTATTAGCAATACCTAGGTACTGATCCCTTTTATCACTCTAAGTGATATAGGGGCATTTGTGCAGTGCAATAATGTAGGTAAACAAAGAGTGAGGAATGTAGGTCATTGTGTGGTCCTCACTCAAATTGCAAAGCTTGAAAAGTTTGAATCTTATGGAAATGGAACTAAAAGAGTAGCTGAGTTTTGTGAAATTATAGAAACAGACACTGCATGTGAAGGTTAATGGTTTATGATATCCCTTCACCTTCTTTGAGGCCCGGTCTCATAAAATCCACCTCCACCTCACATTTCGACTGTTAGCTGTTGGCACTCACCCTCGCTCTCGGAAACCTTTTGGAGTTAATAGGAAGAAATGGAAGCAAATTGTGTCTGAGTTGAAGGTAGAAGATAGAGTACTTTTAGACTAAGGTTCTAAAAATCGATAGGCGCTAGTCAGGCGGAGGGCAGGGGCCTAGCGCCTAGGAAGGCTAGGTGGGGCCTAGGCGGATTTATTTAAATTTATTATATATCTTGTAAATAAGTGCCTATTTACACCTAAAAAAAAAAACTATACTTGTATGGATAATAAAAGAATGATAAAATGCAAAAATAGAAGTAGAAGAATATACAAATTATATACATCCAAAAAGTTCAATATTTAAAAAAACAGTAAGCATATAATCATAATGAGGAGGATTTGGATGATAGACTAAATTCTTCTTGTTCATGAATCATGATCCTTGCATTGGATTGGACATCAACTAAATTATAACCTTGTTGCATCTAGTTTATTTCTTTTCTTTGTATGTATCCCTCAAAAGTGCTCCAATTCGTTTCACTATTGGATGAACTTATAGTAAATCCATCATTTACAAATTAGGTACACCATTTCCATAAGTATACCACCATGAAACCAAAAAAGAAAAAAGCATACAATTAATTAAAAAAAATATATAAAAAAACCGCCTAGGACCGCCTAGGTGCCACCTAGCTCTCCACCTAGGAGCCGCCTAGGACCGCCTAGCTCGAGACCAATTTTTTGAAAAGATGTGTCCAAAATTGGGGTGGGCCTTCACCGCCTAGGCCGATTTTTAGAACATTGTTTTAAACCTACTCTAATCCTTGGAGTAAAACTCAAATTTCAGATTCCCAACTTGCTCCAACTCTTGGAGCAAATATGAGTTTCATTTCTGGGGGCAAAAATTAGTCCAGGATTTCCCCAGGTTAGTAGGGGCTGGCCCACCATATATGTGTATTTTTTTTAGTTTTATTTTTATAAATTCATTGAATGCAACCGTAAAAAAAAAAAAAAAAGATCTAATGGTTCAAATTTAAATTCAACGGCTAAAGTAATTAAAAAAATAATTATTTTATGTGTTTTATATTCTTTCATAGCATTCCACGAGTTTCATAGTGTCGGTTTAGTGATTTTTCAGTATTTATCGAAATCTAAATATTTTTAGGTTAAAATGTTTATAAAATTAAATTAGAATAGTCTACATAATTTTTTTTTAAAGTTACTTATAGAAAGAAAAAAATATTCTAAATTCATTCTTTAATAATCTCGGACTAAAAATTTAACCCATAAGGGTTGGAGGAGAAAAATTGTTTCTGGGTTAAAACCAAAATTATCTGGGTTAAAATTTTAGGTTTTAACCCAAGGATTGGAATCTGTTTGAATTTCTTTTGAAAACCGAAAACTCAAAAAATAGCTTTCAACTTTTGATTTGTAGTTTTTAGTTTTTAATAGAATGAAAACTCAAAACTTAAAAACTAAAGATGAAAACGAAATAGTTATCAAACAGCTGAAAATTTGAGTGATACCAATAATACAAAATTCAAACTCCCATAATGGACCGGAAAATTTAAGTGCTATAAGAGTGATTCTTATTTTTGAATTCAATGAGTGTGATACCAATACAACAAATGACGAGAGAAAAAAGACGAGACCATCATAATATAAGAAAAAGAAAAAGTAGACGACTCTCAAATTTAATATATAAAACTCACCCTTATCAAACTTACATTAGCGTTAATAGTGTAATACGGATCAAATTCACAATGCCTGATTCATATATATAAAAATCACAGACCTAATTCACTATACTCTTCCTTCTGGCTTCAACTTAGATACAATTTGCTTCCATTTCTTCCTATCCACTCAACTTTTTAAAAGATAACTTTCCTTTTACCAATAATTCATTGTTTACAAAACTTGGCCGTTGTCTTGTAATCCATCTTTTCCCAATCAGATGTAGGTTTTCTTTTTGTCTCTTTAAATTGATCCCAAGCATCCAATCGAAAACCTAAGTACGACTTTCTTTTGTGAACAATTTTGGGCCTCACTTCGCTGCCGAACTTGGATCCTCCGACATGGAGTGGAATAGAAAGACAATGGATTAGGTTTTAACTCCCTCCGATGTAACCATACCAAACATCGCCAATTGTTTAGAAACAAATTAAATTAAGTTTTATGCACATCAGTCTTACAATTCGCAGTCATGCACTGGAAGTTCAACCGTTTCTTTTCAAACACACGGGGTTGGGGTGCAAAGAACTCCATTTCACAGCCGATGTGGTACCAACGAGGCACACAATTTAAAACAAGCAAATAGAATGAAATCAATCCTCAGTACTCGCTAATCGAGCTGTAATGAGAAGAAATCATAAAGAAATAGCAAAACCAGAAGCCTTTCATTTCACTAGAATAATCTGTTTTCCTTTCGCATCTATATAGAAACATAAGAGGGGCTGAGAAAGTGAGGGAGAATCATCAGTACCTAGACCTTTTGACTAGTTGCGTGAATTTTCGTTCTTCTATTTTTGTGCAGTTTCCGTGCTCGAGACTCAGCTAGCAAACTGCAGTGGCCACACCATATCTATTTCAGAGTTTACTATCGGTAGTATCTTGACTTAGCCTACTGCCAGGAAACTCCAGGTCCACTGGCTGCCGCTCTAGCCTCAGCCAGTGAAACTGCCATGGCCAGCATCATCTGCTCCTCAAAACTCTCGGGAACAATAGGACCTGGGGCATTTGAAAGATCGCCCTCAATCTCACTCCCCGTTGGTGGTGCAGATGTACTTCCGACATCTTCTGTTGTGTCAGAACTTGCATAACTCATCTGTGTTGTGTCAGCATTCCATTCTCTGTCATCCTGCGTCGAAGCCATCCTGTGATTGATTGACATTTCAGAAAAGGTCACTGCAGTTTGATAATTCCTGGGTTCTCCGTCCACCCTGTTGGAAAACCTGCTAGTGCCAGGAACCATACTAACCCCCGACACATTGCCGCCAGGACTAGTGGAGGATTCTCCACTCGTTTGCTGTCGTTCCGCAAGGGCAGCTATTGCACAGGCAAGACCCCCCGATGGTGAAGATGAACCGGGAACTGAAGCCATGGCTTGTGAGACAAGGTTTTGTCTTGTGACAAATTGTTCAGACGGAGCAGCATCTACGTAAGATGGAGACTTATGTCTCCCATTCTCCTGAAAAACAAAATTGTTGTGCAATACAGAAGAGTTGGAAGGCCGAAAATTTTACATAATGGATTAACAGATATATTTATTAAAAAAAAAAAAAAAAAAAAAAAGGGGGAAAAACGAAATAAAATAGGTGTGATCCTGGTACAAGGGAAGTATACAAGAGAAAATACCCCAAAAAACTAATATCGAACAAAGCCAAAACTTCAATAATCTCCCAGTCACTCAAATTAGGCAATTGTTGACTAAATGACAACTTTTATTACATCCACTTATATTTAATGTAACACAACCAATGCACACACATATATCTAGTATCTAAAGTGAGGTATAAACTTCAAATACTACTAAATTACTTGTAACTATCACAAATCAAAACAGTTATCGGTTGCATCATCAATGACAACAACACCAAAACATTTGAAATACTCGAACTCATGTTCAAAATATACATATTTTTTAGATAATTGCTGTAAACAAGATTCCCATGGCTGGATAGAAAATGTTGTGTTCATTATGTTATATCACTTTTAAGAGTTTTACATCTAGGAATATAAATGTTTACAGAATTTTGCAACCAATAGCCAGGATGCAATCAACAAATTTTGGGAACAGCAACAATATTTTCTCCGTTGAATACTTTTCATCCGTATTAGAAATACTGCATATTTCTAATATTTCCTAGTAACCACTCATTTAAAGTTCTACACTAAATATTAAAGTAGGATTATTAAATATAAAGCTTAGATAATTCAACCATTATCTACATAGAGATATCTTAACTCAAATAGTTTGATATGAGGGAGCTTCAACTCAAAATAGTTTATTTATGTCTGATACGCATGTCAAAAGTACAAGCTCCAACACTATACATATTACAAACTGAGCATTTCAGCCTCAAGGATATGCAATGCACAACTCTCTGTTCACATAAGCATTCTTGCCTTCATTTCACTATTGGGTGTCACCGTGTCAGTCAAGTATATCACTACGTACTAAGCTCCAGTTAAAAGTACTCACTAAAAGTCTCATTACCTTCATAGAAGCACTTAAAGACCACATAATAGATTTCAATGTAAATAAATAAGTTAAGAGAATAATCAAAAAGCATTTGGTTTCAATTTGAACAGTGTAACACATGGTTTCCATACAGTTCGTAATGAAGCTTATTTCAAACAGGACTCGTGATTTCAACAAATTTACAATGTTTACCTGAATAGAAAGCCAAACTGCTTCCATGACCATTATTTCCTCAAGATCCAGATCAAATTCATCCTCCCTGCAGTTTCAGAATTTAAAATAGAAATTATGATCATGGCTGGCAATCAATTGTGCCAAATCATGCTTGAGTCGTATTCAAATTGTCACGTATCTTGTAAAACAAACACTCATAAGAGCCTTTTAATCTAAAAAAAATCTGGCATGTATGATGCGAAAAGCCAGATAATTCCATGCTGAAAAATGTTAATTTTTCCACACACAATTGCAGTACAGAGGTAGAGACATGGAGAAAGGTGCATGAATAAATGGTTGTGATATGGGAAACCTGAGAACCTATTCACTCGTACACAAACTAGGATCCAACTAGTTAAAGTTCCATGAAGATATGGAAACCTATTCTGACTATTATGCTGCAGTAATTTCCTCCTCTTTTGTTTTCTTTTTATTCTAAATGCAAACATATATTTTTCTAATCTACAAACTAGGGCAAGATAACACAAGTAAACAGATGTTTCATTCTCACATTTCGAATCCCAATTCGTTCCATGGTTAAACACACAGACCAGAAATAAAAAGATAAATTAAAGTAAATTAAAATGTACACCTGTACACTCTTGGAGGTGGCGGTTGGGTACACATTGACACAGCACATGAATCTTGAGAAGGAACTATTTCCTCTCCTTCTTCTGGAGAAGTGGAGGATCGAACTGCCAGAAAACTTTGTCATTATATAAACAAATGAATACCTGTACATTAATAGAATCCACAATCTTATTGTTAGCATACCGGTTACTGAGCTGTATTCATCTTCCACTGGTGCCATGCTTCTTCTTGGAGAGCTTATTTGTCTTTTCAGCATTCTTTCTTCTTCATCCTGAATTTCTTGCTGCCGCATCCTAATTTTTGCTTCTATGACTCTTTGTTCTTCCTGCAGAGTTTTCAGAAATGAAAATAATTTTCAAGTTCCATCCAGTGGACAAAATCAGTAGAACAAGAATCCATAAATTCAAAATAAAATCAATTTTTTTATGACAGATCTATGCTTACAATTTGCTCCAGGCCCTTCTCTTCCTTTGTTTTCACACCACGGAACTCCACAGCATAATTGGTGGTTTTACAAAAAGGGCACCTAATTATGCTAAGTAAAACAAGCACAAAGAGCTGAAAGTAACAAATGAAAAATGACAGTTTTCACATTACAAATTTCAAATTTCACTTCAAAATTTGAAGGTATAACATCAATAACAAAGGATACTGCGTAGGACGAGTTGAATTAGGAACTTTCATCTGCAGGAAACACTCTGCAAGGAAATGGAGATAGATCAATTCACATGCAAATATTTACAGCCGACATATCAAATGTAAAAATTTGCATGATTGCAACCTGTACAAATGCCTTTCATGCAGCATCTTGATCTGTTAAGACTTGGATAATACTGAAACAAGAAAAGAAAAGAAAAGGATGGAATAGGATAGTCAGAAGACTTACACAACAACAATAATTACAAAATAAAATTCAATTTAACTTTTTTCAGAAATTCAAATTCTGTGAGTTCTTCAGAGAATGGTGTCTAAGAAAAAATTAAAAAATAACTTCCCAGTTACAATGTACCGGAAATGTAGCAAAAAAGATTGCTTTAAAATTTCAATTTAGTTCTGTATGGAGCAAAAGGCAGAGGACAAAGAATACCAAGAAGGAAAGTACAAGAACAATAAAAAGGATCACGGTAGAAGTCAAACCAGAAAGCAAATTGGACATTCTTCATGATCGAAAGTGCATTCTTCATCTCCAGGATAGCAAGGAGCAAGCTTGGACTCAAGTATGAGCTTCTTCAGTTTCTTATGATCCACATCTTTGTGGTGGTAAAGCCCCTGAGGCCTTGTGTATTTCTCATCAATCACCTGTCTCCTTCTTCCGAGCTTATTACCCATCCAATATGATTCTCTTCTTTTCACTTATTCTTCAATTTGTGAAAACAAATCAATGACAGTAACAAGAATAACATACCAGTTTCTCGCAGTCAAATTTCTATGAAGAACAAAAACATATTATTGTACAGTCAACATTACTTTGGAAAACTTCAGCAAGAAGCTAGAATGTGGTATTAACTATTATTTTACAACGCATTTAGCAAACCAGTAAAATGCTTTCAATTGAACAGCCAACATTTGCTTCCAAATGAAACCCTCGGAATCCTGCAGTGGATTAAGACAAAAGCAACAGCCTCATCATAAAGTCTCGTATCATAAACTTTACAGCAAAGAATTCAACTGACCTCACTTCGGTGCCAAAACATATTGTCACAATCGTATTAGTAAGAATGCACAAAAGGTAGAAACTAAACATAGAACTTGAAGTCATCCAAATGCTTTTCTTTAGGAACAAACGAGCAAAGAATAAAGTAGATAATACGCGCAAAGACTCCTAACAAAACTTCAAACTACAATCAAGCACGTACACTGCAGCAAGAACCCGAAGAAACCTAACAGAACTTCAAACTACAATCAAGCACGTACACTGCAGCAAGAACCCTAAGAAACCTAACAGAATACCCCGAACCATGTCATCTTTACTAAAGACGCTACGTCTGCACTTCAATTGACGGCAATTTTCCTCCTCTGAATAACATTGCCAGAATTGTAAAATCGAAAGTGAAGACAAAAAACTCCGAAAAGAAGCCCCGAACTCCATTACAAAACAATGAAATCTCAACAAACAAAGAAAATGAAGCACAGGTCCACTGAAAACGCCGCACTCGGCGGAGGAACGTGAAGAACCCTAATTTAAATGGCGGCAGCACTTCCAGTTCCAAGTCCCAATTGGCAACAATCTGCTTCCAAAACACAACTCGGCAGCAGCAAAAACACAAAATGGAACCCAAACCCCCCAAAATTCACTTCAAAATTCAAAATTTCCACTTCCAAATTCCAAAAAGATTCAAAGAACACAATAATTACGAACGAACAATAGTTTAGCCGGACGCAAAGCTTGCAATTAAGCTCAAAATTCAGAAAAGCAGTAACAATAAGCAATCGGAAACCAAATAACGAACCTTGGAATTCTTGAGAGCAGAGAAGAACAGTTCCAGATTTTAGAGAGAGAGAGAGAAAGGAGAGAGAGTCTCTTGGGGAGAGAGAGGAAAGAGATGAAGTCGGAAGAGTTGCTTGCTGACGAGAACAGGAACACGATTACAACTTTCTCTCACAGAGACAGAAATTTCCTCTTTTTCTTTCCTTCTTTAATTTAATTTTTTAAAATAAATAATAATTTCGATGCTTTTTTTATATTTTTTTAGTGTTTGTGTTTGTTCTCTTTCGGCCTCCGTGGTTTATCCGACGGAAAGTTTAATACAAAATTAAGAGAGAGAGAGAGAGAGAGAGAGTCGGCAGCAGGCAAGGCGAGGCAGGCAAGGGACGGTGGAGTAGCCGACGAGTAAAGAATAAGTAAAAGCAAGAGAAGCTGTTTCCCTTCCACGCGCCTTTTTCCCGCGTCCCTCTCACTCCCGCTTCTTTTCTTGTTTTTTTTATTTTTTTTTCTAATTTTTTTTTTTGTCTGATATTTTATGCTTTGATTTTTGGGTGTTGTTTCCGCCTCGCCTTCGCTATCTTGTGCTTGGCTTTTTGAAAAAGTATAAAACGATGATTTTACGTCTTCATTTGTTCTCTTCCACCACTCGCAATTTGTCTGATGAATAATGATCATTAGGTTTTGTTTTATAAAAGGGATGGATGATAATATTTGATTATTCTTCAATGTTAGGTTAGAGTTATTGAATTCGGAATTGTAATTTTTTTTTTTTTAGAAAACAAAATAACATTAAGAGAGGATAAAACCCCGGGAACACGCAAGGCCCCTAGAGTCAAACAACAAGGCGTTAGTAGCTGGCAGAGGTGCACATCCAATCCAAGCATGGAAGTTATCTGAACCATGCTCACATGAAGTGATGGCATTAGCTACAAAATTAGCTTCCCTTAAAATATGCTTCCAAGTAATAGAGTCGAAAGAAAAGGCCAGCCATTTGATATCTTGAACAATAGCACGGATACGCCAAGGAATGCTACATTTTCCCATGATTGCCTCAATGACAATCTTCGAATCCCCTTCAATCATGACCTTCTTTAAACCCTGCTATATGGCCACCAACAGAGCATCCCTATTAGCCAAAGCCTCTGCAACTGTAATTGTGTTTTGACCCAGATTTCTCGAACACGCCAACCAAGGTTGACCTCAATGGTTTCTAATGACAAAACCTGCTGCAACACAAGTACCTACCACAGAGCCATCAAAATTTATTTTATGGTAATCAGAATTCGGGAGATGCCATCTGAGTTTACTGTTATTCTTATGATGGCTTGCCACCCTCGCTTTGGAATTAGCTAGCAAGAAATTTTTAGCTCGAGTGGTCAAAGCCTTGAAACTGTGAATTGGGTTTGGCTTTATCTGATTAAACACAAAATCATTCCTATCATTCCACATTTGCCACTAAATAAAAAGAACCTTACTAATATCAAATAGATCGTCTTTGTCTATATAATCAAGGCTATTAAGCTAGTCATTTAAACTTGGGGCAAGGGAAATAGCAGGCAGCTTATTATCAATCTTCCACAACTCCTGAGCAAACGGAAAAGATTTAAATCTATGGCCATGGTCCTCCTCGGCATTATTACATAAGGGACATAAGGTAGAATTGTTATTGTTGAGTTTATTTAATTTAACATTAGTGGTTAGCTTATTTCTCACCAACAACCAACCAAAAAAACTTAACTTTGTAAGGAATATTTAGTTTCCAAATTCTGTTAAGGAGTCCCTTAAACATATGACATTGATCATCATCAATTTGAATTATGTGAGCTGATTTAACTGAGAACTCCCCATTAGAGGTAGGGCCCCAAATAAGCTTATCTTCAACATCATTGATCAGGATAGGAATGGCTAAAATTGTATCAACAACATCCACTGGTAAGAGTTGGTTAAGGAGATCAACATTCCAATTTTATCTAGCATCACATTGCTAACTTTAAGGTTCCAGTCAATAAGATGTTGGGATTGAATGGCAATGATATTGGATAAGGGGAAAGGGAAAACCTAATTATGGGACCAAAAAGCAATGTTTTGACCATTTCCCATAGTCCATCTCATTCTCATCTTCACAATATGTCTTGCTGCTAGAATACCATTCCAAGCTGCTGAATGATTTTGTTTGCAATTCATATTCCAAATAGATTTATGTCCTAAATATTTCGCTTTTACAATCTTTACCCACCAGCTATCAATATCATTGATAATTTTCTAGACAAGCTTAGTTGAAAAAGCAAGATTGAATTATTTAGCCTTTAAGGATTAATATAATCCTATATATATATTGTAATATGTTCTATACATCAATGCAAGGAGTCATAATTCACACATCAATACAAGATGTCTACATGGCTCAGCCCCTCGCTTTGTTGACTTGCACGTCTTAATCATGTTCACCTTCACATATCTCTCTATGGTCTCAAACAGGCTCATCGTGCTTGGTTCAACCGCCACCATTATTTCCACTTGTACCTTGGATTTACTTAGAGTATTTGACTCCTCTCTTTTTATATTTAGGTGTCTCACTCACACTATATTTTTGCTTCTTTATGTGGATGGTATTTGTGGATGCAAATTTCTTTCTCCTTGCACTTGGACAAAATTGCACCTACAAAACAAATAACACCTTAGGTCAAAGCCAAGAGGAAGAACCGGCCACATGGATGAATTTGTGGGCTAGGTTCATGTTTTATGTTTAATTAGCTAATTAACTAATTAATTTGGTAATTAATATAATAAAAAAGGAATGATTTAGGAGTTACCTTGTGGAGAAGCTATGATGAGGGATGGATGAAATAGGATATAAATAAATACCTATTTGGGCATTTTTGACTTGATTGAGGGACGATTGTCCACTACTCGTGCGTATGAATTTTGGTGTGCCTTAAGGGTAATTTTGTCATTTTCATCCAAAAATCCACGTGTTGCCTCTTGATTATTTTTGGCTCCACAATATTGTCGTCACTGGTAGCTCTTCAAATCTTGTTACTCAATTTGTTGATCTCTTTGGCAATCAATTTGACATTATGGATTTGGCCCCTCAAATTATTTTCAAGGATTAAAGGCTACTCGTGACTCCACTGGTCTACATGTTCGTTAACTTAAATATGCTCATGATCTACTTAAGAAGTTTGACATGGTTTCCTGTAAATCGGCATCGACCCCTCTTGCTACCAAGTTGCTCTCACTGCTACGGATGGTTTTTTTACTTTATTCTCCCACTGTCTTTCGTGAGTTAGTTGACTCTCTACAGTACCTTACTCTCACTCGTCCTACCATTTCTTTTGCGGTAATACAACCTCTTAGTACATGAGTGCTCCTCGTATTACTCACTTGATCACTGCTAAAAGGATTATCGAGTATGTTAAAGGTACTTTAGACTTCAACATTCATCAGCATTTTCATACCACTACTTTATTTGGTTATTCGAATGCTAATTGGGCGGGTTGTCCGAACACTCAGTGTTCACTAGTGGCCATCTTATCTATTTGAGTTTTGCTTCTTTTTTAGTGAGTTTGGGGTTCGATTGACTACTACTATTTTGTTACATTGTGATAATTTAAGTGCCACTTATCTTGCCATTCATCCAGTCCATCATGCTCACACACATCACATAAAAACTCGATTATCTTTTTGTCTGTGAAAGGTTGCTTTTGGTAGTCATCATGTTTGCTATATTCTCTCTACTGATCAACCGGCCGATTTTCTCATTAAAGCTCTTCATCCGCCTCGTCATGCCCTACTTTGTTCCAAACTTGTCTGATTCAGCTCGTCCAATTTGCATGGGGAGGGGACAGTGTTAGATTAGACTTAATCAATCGAAATTCTTCACTGTGATTGTAATATGTATATAGGAATGTCATTTCCAATTGTAATTAGTGTAGGATTTCTACCTAAATGAGGATTAACATAACGCTATATATATTGTAAAATTTTCCACACACCAATACAATGAGTCATAATTCTACATTCAATTAATTAACAATCATTATTTTTAGACTTGGTTACTGACACCCTTGACCCTGATATTTACGTCCTGGCCAACACCTAAAGGTGACAAAGCCATATTAGAATGCATGAGAACTAGAAATAAATGAGACTTATAAATTTAAATTAATGTAATTAATATGCAAATAAGGAAAGTGTTCAGAGCATACAACTTATTCGAGACACTAGAAAGGAAATAATATAACATTGAATGAGCAAAGGAATGGGTCCTACACCGAGATGACTCGAAGATGCCAATGCGGAAATGCCCTGACACCCGGATTGTACGCCTCGATTCTAAATCTTGAGGGGACACAAAACAAAACATAAGTGAACCAAGTTGATATATATATATAATACTGAAACAGTTATTCAATAATGTACTAACCCCCAAAATTTTATGGAAATTCAATAATATTATGTAATAGATTTTTCCGAAAACCCTAGCATGCCATAAAATCTTTCATAAAACATATATCGTATATAGTGTGCTAAATAGTGGTATCAAAATCGACCCGTAGGCTCCTACATCACTCGACCCGTAGGCCAAATATAATATACTTTTCGACCCGTAGGCCCTTACATCACTTGACTCATAGGCCAATATAAGTATCATCGCCCGTTGACGGAACAGTGACCACTAGATAAGCACAAAAACATTGAATATACTTTTTCCAACGTATGTACATAAATCTCAAAAACATCTTCATAGTATATAGTCATCTATTATATATACTACAAATAAGTGTAAAAACATGTTCAAAAATAGTATATAGTCATCCATCATATGTACTATATATACTATAAAGAACATATATTCGATAAAGTATGGTATTTCAAAATATTCTCAGTAAAGCATGATAATCATAAAGTGTAAATCTAATTTAATCATAAATGTAACCATTAAATCATGATTTTCATGTATGCATTTCTAATATTAAAACATGCATTTTAGAAAGTGTCCACTCATAGATACTTTGTCGTTGAAGCACCACGCAAACTAGCGAAGACGGAAATCGCCACAATAAATGCACTTAAGCACAAAAAGGGTCAAATTAATAAAACTCTATTAAAACAATTGAATTTGGGAAAATGGATGTAAAAAACGAATCCAGGACATCAAAATTAGCCTAGGAGGGGTACCAACCGAAACCCAAAAAGTCAACAAAAAGTCAACGTTGACGGGTCAACAATCAGACCGGGTTAAGTCAATCAGGTCGAGTCACAAAGGTTTGGGTTGGTTCCGGGTTGGGCCTAAAGAAATAGGCTTGGGCTGGTTATATGGCCCAAGGGTTGGGCCGATTCTACATTAGGTCTTGGGTTCAACTTAAAGGGGTTCGGGTT